CGACCTGATGCTTTTCTTCTTTTGTCTCTCCTCTATCCACTCACCCCAACCGGTCGAGGCAGAAGGCCGCCCACCAAGAGCTGGGGTCTGTCGGAGGTTTCTTCCTTTAAAGGGAGTTTTTCCTCCCCACTGTTGCCAAGTGTTGCTCAAAGGGGATTTGTTGGGTTTTTCCTTATTAATAATAATAATAATATAAAGTTCCTTGTGATTTGGCGCTATACAAATAAAATTTGAATTTAAGTTAGTTATGGTGTAAATGTTTTCAAATGGGAAGAAACTGGAGTACCCGGCGTAAACACCAGAAAATGCTTTTTCCTAAGACAAACTACAGTAATAATCAGATTGACCTTCATGGTAGCATGATAAAAGGAACATAGAAAATACATTAATATCACACTTGCACAAATAGAAATCCATTAATGTATTTATATGTTTATTTATAAGGCAAATCAAATTTATTTCTACAGCACTTTCAGACAGGAGAACGGCAGTAACCAGAGGATGGAAAAGTGAGCTGAGTGAGTGAGTGAGATAACAGGAGAGCAGCAGGAAGAAGGAGGATCGCCGACTTATGTGGCCGGATCAAAACATTGGTTACTCTCACTGTTAGCATCACTGTTACAGTGTCAATCATCTGTGAAGATGGGCCGTCTGCCAGCGCGTTAAATAGGTTCCCCTTAATCAGTGTGAACGAGCCTCAGCTGTGCACCACACCCAGTGAGCTGCTGATTGAGGTGATGTGCCTCAGCTGTGTTGCCGAGCCTGCATGACGAGAGGACGGAAAGAGAAAGGGGAAAAGAGGCAGGTCGCGCCAAGCAGACCTCACAGCTACTGTTCAAACCTGACTAAACATGAAGGGGTTCCTGTTGGCTAGAAGTCACATATCACTGAAAAATGACTGAATTCATTCATGAATATTCTGATCTACAAATAAAATATTTGCAGTGAAAAGAAGAAGAAATATTCATTTACTTCTCTCATCTCAATGTGTGGAAACACACACACACACCCTCTCATGGGGTTGAACAGACGTTCTATGATCTGCAGAAGCTGCTGGTGTTCATGTGACCTCAGTGTGACCTGAGAGCAGAAATCAGCAGTGAGTTGTAGTGCAGCAAGTTAGCAGCTGGTGGCAGTGTTACTACAGGAAACTTTTTTCCAGACACAGCAGAGGAAACACAAATCTTGGTTTCACATGGTAAACAAACATCAATTAAAAATGATAACATGACTGATAACTGATCCAATCTGTGTGCTCTCCCCTCTGCTGTTTTCACTCTACACCAACGACTGCATCTCGAAGGACCCCTCTGTTAAGCTCCTAAAGTTTGCAGATGACACAACAGTCATTGGTCTCATCCGAGACGGCGACAAGTCAGCCTACAGATGGGAGGTTGAGCAGCTGGTCCTGTGGTGTAGTCACAGCAACCTGGAGCTGAACATGCTCAAAATAGTGGCGATGACAGTGGACCTCAGGAAGAGTCCCCCTCACCAAACTTGGCAGCACTATATCAGCAGTAAAGTCCTACAAGTTCCTGGGCTCCACTATCTCCCAGAACCTGAAGTGGACGTCCAACATCAGGACCATCATCAAGAAGGCACAGCAGAGGATGCACTTCCTGCACCAGCTCAGGACGTTCAACCTGCTCCAGGAGCTGCTGATACAGTTCTGCAGAGGAATCATCAAGTCTGTTCTCTGTTCCTCCATCATTGTCTGTCAGGTACGGTGCATAACACTGCCGATGATGTCAATGGTGAACTCTATTATAATGCCAGATGAGGAGAAAACAATCTCCTTACTGAGATGCTGGTCACGATAAACACAATACAATGCAGGAGTCCAGAAAACACACTCGGGTCAATAATACAGTCCAGGGCCAGAGCCAGCAAACATATACAGCTGAGGTATCCACAAAAGATTGGTCAGAAGGGGAAGTCCAGAGGTCGAAACACAGTACACAGTCAGAAGTAGGAGGGTAAGGCAGTAATTGGTGGTCAAAAAGCAATCCAAGGTCTGAGCTGGAGTAACAGGTACCAAGAAAATGCTGGAAAGTCTGAACTGAGGTTAGAACAATCTGGCAGCTTTCCGGTGGGGGTGGGGTGGGGGTGAAAACAGGTGCAAACAATGAGTGTCAATCAGTGTGACGTGTCCATATGCAGTGTGAGACCGAAACAGGAAGTGACACAAAATAAAAGCATGATACTGGAAACAGGCGGGACAGAATCATGACACTGTCTGATTTGGCTCAGCAACCAAATAGGACAGGAACAGACTCCAGTGGACAGTCAGGACTGCAGAAAAGATCACTGGTGCAAGCCTCCATGGAGGACCTGTACACCTCAAAGGTCAAAAGGAGGGCGGAGAGGATCACTGCTGACCGCTCACACCTGGGATACAATCTGTCTGAACTCCTCCCCTCTGGACGAAACTACAAGTCACTGTGCACCAAGACAACCAGGCACAAGGACAGTTTCTTCCCCCTGGCGTCACTCTGATGAACACTTGACCCATGACAGTATGACTGGACAGTAACTCTCAGTGCAATACCTGTAAATATACCTTGTACATATTGATCTGTCGATTCCAGACTGTGTGTATATAGTACTTTATTTTTACTCCTAAGGCACATTCCTTCTTTACTTCTGTTCTCAGCCTTATATTGGTTACTTGCCCACTGCTGCCTTACATAAGGCCATGCCCATATGCATTGAGAGCCGCTGTACCAGAGTCAAATTCCTCATGTGTCCAATACAGCTGATTCTGATTCTGATTCTGAGACTGTGGGAATAAGGCAGCAGCAGTGAGGGGGTGTGTCCGACTGCACAGCTCACCTGTCATGTGGGAAAGGGAGCGCAGACAGGTTGTTTACAATGAGCAAGCAAAGTCACTTCTGCTGATTTATGGTTGTCACAGACTGAAGAAACTAATCAGTGTTTGAGTCGTCAATAACTGAATTGATCATCAACAGGTACCTGCCCAACCCTGGAAAGGTGTGCATCACATGGTGTCAGGATGTCCTGTTATTGATCAACACAGCTCAAAGAGAAACAGGGAGCGCCTGGTGTGATGCAGTGGATCTCCCTACTGATGCCAACATGACAGAACCATTGTCCCACAGGGGGATGATGATGGAGATGAAGATGTGACAAAGAGGAGTTGTGCAGCCCTTTTCTGACTAAACCTGCTTCAGCAGAATCAGCACAAACTGATGACGTGAAGATCTGAGACACCATTAACATGAGTCAGTCACTCCCTAAAACTCCCCACTCCCCCACTGTGCTCAGATGAGGACCTGATTGAGGACAGGCACCTAATAATAGCAGAGCTCGTACTGACTCCAAGCTGGTTCTGAGTTTCAGTGTGGTCACAGCAGAAACACGACAACATTCAGTTTATTCATACATGAGTGATTTGTGCTGATGTTGCTGATGAACACTATTGTGCAACAGTTCACAGAGTCACAGAGAAGCTGCAGTCTGCTGGAATAAGGACCAGAGATCCTGGTTTGGTCCAAAATCAACCGACATAGTCAACACACTTGGCCACATATTCACCACAACAACAAACAGACTCAGTCCAACAGAAAACATGAACACACACAGACACACACACAAACTTAATGACCTGTACAGAGAAGACACAGCTCAAAGTGTTTAGTGATTTACTGCATCGACTGTAAATACAACTGAATGTCAGTGTGTAACACAGGTACAGCTACATTATCTCGATGGTAGCTTTGAACATTTCAGTGTGTTTATCCAGTGTCACACTTCAACTTTAGGCTGGTTGTTGTTGTTTATTGAAGAAGTTCTCACTTCATCTGCTCAAAGCTTTCTAGTTGTCGCACATGTAAAGAATTTAGATCCATAACAACCTGATCTTTTACTTGTTACTATTCATGTGTAGCTTTCTGCCGTGTTGTTAATGCATTTAGCACAACAGATGGAAATGTTGCCTGCGCTGACAAACTGTCAAACTGCAGAGCAATACACTATGTAGCCGTAACAGGAAGTGATATTTTGCTGCACCACAGTGAAGTGTCTCTGGCTTCCTGTTGCGCAAGGGGTGGAAACTGTGCATTTGTGTGACATGGAGGATTCTTTCCACTCACATCCTGCTAAGAATAGTCAGAAATGTAACGTGTCGCCATTAACTCCACTGTTTCTTTCCATTTAAAAAAAGATCTTGGTGTCAGATTCATGTTACAGAATACTTCACATTTCTGTCCATCCTTATGTTGGTCACCACGTGCACCCAGGTTATCCTCATACGTGACTCAGTCATAGCACAGTCTACTTAGTGCAGTGCAGCTTTTATATAAAACAAAAGTCAACACACATTTGATTATTAGTGTCAGTGGCGATGAAGGAAGCCAGGTGGACTGGGCTGTGGAAGTCAGGAGGCAGCTGGTGTGACATGTAGGGGTGAGGCTGGCAGAAAGTGCTGTACTGGACCAGTGGTTGCTGCTGAAATGAACAATTTCTGCTGCACACATGAGTTACACAAGAAGTCACATGAGTCTGCTTACACCTGTGTGTGTGTGTGTGTGTGTGTGTGGTGTTCACATGACATGTTTGTGAACTCCTCTCTGGTCTTGAACAGGTTGAATTAAACTGACTATTTACCAAATATTGTCAAGTTAAATCCTGTAAATAAATGCGTTTCCAGCTGTTTTCTTTCACAGATGTGGAGGAACCAATGAGCCAGTTGAGCAGCTCCTTCTATGGGACAGGTGACACTGGGTCCACCTCCCCCTCTGAACCTCAGCACAGATGCCCTGCAGGACTGAGTCCTTCTCCCCCAACTCGTTCCTTCTTTGCACCAACAGTTTAAAAAGCAGCCACTATTCAAAGAATCATCAAGACCAGCCTGGTATGACAGCTCCAACTGTTGTGGAACCTGACCTGGGCCGGTATAAGTCAGGCACACACCAGTGAAGATTCTGTTATCTTTTGAAAAAACACTCAAAGTCTCTTCATTCTCAAACAAAGCATAGGATTTATTGCAAAAGGTTCCAAACAGCAATATCTCTGTTTCTGGTTCGTGAAGCAGAACAGTTTACAGAGCTTTTCCAGCATCTTTTATAGTCTCTACAGGCACCTCCAGTCTGACCACAGTCTATCCCACCATTCTCTCCTTGACATCACACACCATAGACATCACTGTATTTGCTCCTATAGAGGTCAGACTTGTCACCCCTTCAGACATTATACAAACACCAGAAATAAATTTAATGGACCTGCAAGTGACATAAGGCTGCATATCACATGATGACTGACACGAAGAATGAGCACACAATATCTTTATGACACGTCCCTGAGTAGTGATACCTCCAAACACTATAAACATGTCACAAACACAATTAGTTACAGGTAACATATAACTTTGTGATACACATATGTCCACCTCATCAACAGGTGATAGAGAAACACATTAACTTATCAGAGGATGGCATCTAGACTTCATTAATATGATGCTTCCATAACAAGGAGGTGTCTACATCTGTGTACTGTTTGTTGTCAGACACATAAACAAATGAATAATTTTGACAATGACATTAAAGGCTATTTTATCTCTCCCTCTCTGAGTCACAACAGGTGTCCCCGTGCCACCTTCCAGTCTGGGCCACAACTCTGGGCAGCCAGCCACATAACAGACTGATGAACTCTCTCACTTTACTCCAGGCTGCTAGGGTCATCTTATGGTCAGTCTTACACATAACAGGCGACTCTGTCAGCCTTATTCACAGTAATACTGAGCAAGTATAAAAACTACTGATGAAAAAATTGAAGTAAGGTAATAAAGATTAAACCCAAAAGAAATATCAGATAACAAATTAAAAAATGAAGTAAATTAAGTAAAAATATAGTAAGTAAAATAAATCAAATACAGCAATTATGACTGAAATGACCTTATCCAAATCTAACTACAAGCATGAGAACAAGACTTACTCTAATCTTTTATCCCCCTTGATCACCCACATGACACTACACACTATGTGAAGTGTTTTTCATTCATCTGTGAAGGCAACTCTCGCTCTAACAATGCTGGTTGTATAGTCGGGAAAATCAAGTTTCTGTTTCTGCACAATGTCAGACGAGGTTTTGAAATGATTTCACATAAGATTGTCTCCATTTAGGACTCACATGCCATCATTACAGCTAAACACGTTCCAATTTCAGGGTGCTGGAAAGGCATGGATCCAACTCCCGCACTTGGGCAATCAGGAATGAACTGGCTTGTGGCCCTCTCATACGTACCCAGTCGATCACAGTTCGAGCCCTGTCAGCCCTGGTTTTTGCTCTAGCCGACTCCATTTCTTCTTGGCATATAAAGCCCTCCTGCAAAAGATGATCCAGCAGCTGGTTTAGAATTTGTTCAGACACGTTTTTAGTAAACTTGGCCCGAACAGAGAACAGCCTTCTCTCTGGTGACCGACTCTGAAGCCTCTGTAGACAGTCATTACTTGGACCAGGATCTGAGGGACAAGCAGAAAACAGACTTTGGTCAATAGCTGTTATTTAAAGTACTTTACAATGTCTCATTCACACATTCACACAGTGTTGCCATGAACTGTGCAGGTCAGTTATAGCGCAGGCCGGCATATTATATTTTGACCACCATGCATTCAGCCGTGCTACACTGGAGACCAAACAAGGCATTGGCAGATGTCCTTGTGTGAGGTGTGAGGGCCTGCTAGTTTCTGCTACAACTTGTCGCCTTTTAAAAATCAGCCAAGTCGAGTGAGAAGAGCTACAGGTTTATCTTCAGACTGTGATCACACTGTACAGACGACATGTTCACTTGCTGAGGTCCGATTCCAACAGCAGCCTGACCACCTCCAGATGTGGTTTGGCCAGTCTGATCGCACCGTGATCCAAATATGTTTCTACACCTGCATTAACGTGCACTTCTTGGTCCGGTCAGGACACGCAGACACAGACTGATTGTTACTGTCAGTAGTCAGCAGGGTCAACGTGTGCACGAGGACTGATGTCAAAGCAGCCATGACACCTCTGCAGGATGACTACTGGCTGATTCAGTGCCTGAGGGAGGACTGTATGACTGGACATGATTAGATTCCTCATTTCCCCACGACAACTGTTCAGATTTACTTTCAGCTTGTCCACACACAGCTCCTTTGGATTAGTTTTTACTACACAATCTTCAGCTTAAAGTCGGATCACATAATGATGAATGATATGAAATATAATTTATCTAAACAATAAAGGTCTGTGTGTGCTCAGCTGAGATCTGGTGTTTTGTCACTTACAGTAGTAACTGGAATGTTTCTTATTTAGAAGAAGGGAAGCCGACCTGTTCACTGGGTTGTTTGAATGATAAAGAAAATGAGTTTCAATTTATTTTCTATTGCCTTTTGCATTGGCAACTGGGCAATATCTTGGTTAGTAAAATAACTATAGGCATTGACTGTGTAAACATGGATGATGCAGAGAGACTGAGATGGTTGTTTACATATCATCATCATCATCAACTTTATTTATATAGCACATTTAACACAGCCGAAGCTGACCAAAGTGCTTAACATAATATCCACAACACCCTTTAAAAAAACAACATAAACAAACAGCAAAACAAAAACATCATACTTAAAACAACCCCCCATCATAAATCACAAGCTCAACAAGACACAGGATCATACTGGTTCGAACGCCAGACGGTACAGATGAGTCTTCAAATAGGTTTTAAAAGTGGACAACGAGGGGGCCTGTCTAATATAAATGGGCAATGCATTCCACAACTTAGGCGCCCCCACAGAAAAAGCTCTGTCCCCCCTAGATCTCCGCCTAGCCCTCGGTACCTCCAAGGTGGTCAGCTGATCTGAGGCACCGGGAGGGGCTATAGGAATGTAGCAATTCTGTAAGATAAAGGGGATCCAAACCATTTAAAGATTTATAAACAAATAAAAGAATCTTAAAATGGATTCTAAAACACACCGGCAGCCAATGCAGGGAAGCCAAAATGGGTGTGATATGGTCACTTTTACACCCTCCAACCAATAGACGAGCAGCAGCATTTTGGACTCTCTGGAGGCGGGCAAGGGACGCCTGACTGAGCCCAAAATATAGTGCATTACAATAATCCACACGAGATGTAATAAATGCATGTATTACCGTCTCAAAATGCTGCGGTGAAAGAAAGGGCTTCGCCTTTGCCAGCTGCCGGAGGTGATAAAGACTGACCCGTACAACTGCATTCACCTGACATTCCATTCTAAGAACAGAGTCTATTTTAACACCAAGGTTAGTAACGGTGGACTGCATGTACCGTTCCAAGGAACCAAAATCAACTGGGGGAAAATCATCAGAGTTATTTGGACCAAACACTATAACCTCGGCCTTCGTATCATTCAACTTCAATAAGTTTAAGGTCGTCCACTTCCTAACGTCATCAAACATGACAATAGTGATGCAACTGATGATGCGTCCCTTCCCCTCAGTGGCAAATACATCTTAACATCATCCGCATAACAATGAAAAGAGACCCCATGCTTCCTGAAAATAGAGCCAAGAGGAAGTAAGGAAAAAAGCAGTGGCCCTAAAACTGAGCCCTGCGGAACCCCAGATACCAACGAGGTAGACGAGGACTCAGCATCAGCAACACGAACAGACATTGTCCTATCTGACAGATAAGACCTAAACCACTTCAAGGCAGTACCACGGATGCCCACTAACTCCTCAAGTCGAGATATTAGGAT